AATCGACTGATATTTACATTTCCATTGCAATCTGTCAAATCGTCACAGTCGAACGCTGAGAAATGTTCATCATCCACTAGTCAGTGTTTTGGTATGCAGTAGGAATTATCAGTCGATTAGAACTCGTTCAAGTTATCATAAGATGTGAACTTATATCATCATCATATGAGAATACACACACCGGACACATTTAAATACTTCTAGCGTCGATGAAAAATTCACTGTGTTTCCGGATATCTTAGTGGCTATGTAAATGCTATGAGTCCTTGTGTAGGAGTTATGTAATTTATTTCACCCACTTGGGTTGCAAAGTGATGTGACCAGATTCGAGAATCTACTGACAGAAAACAGACTATCACTCAACGTTGAAAATTGATTGGCAATGCTCGCACCTACTCCAGTAGACTTGAGAATTCCCCAACTCTCATTATACAGCAACATCTCCGATACTGCGATTTCTGGCTACGTGGAAGCCACAGCCATTACATCTTTGTAGTACCTGGTCCTCAGTCAGCTAGATGCGCCCTTATCAGGGCTATTCACGCATCAACATCGTCATCATTTTAAAAGACATATGAAGGAGAATGACCAAATTTCTCTTCGGACTCAATTTCTGACCGTATGATGATTGACGTCAGAATCTGGATTACTATAGTCATGGCTGATGCAGAACTAGCAGCTACTTAATAGAGGCAAACAAATGTCTGTACCCCACCGTAAGGGCAATACGCTGTCAATGGTGTAATCACGCCACTGGTGCGCATCAGTGTGCAGTGATTTATGTGTGATCCATTCTACTTTCACTTAGGGCTGTATGAGTTGATAGATTGGATAGGAAGCGAGACAATCAAAGTGAAACGATAGGTCTACGAACACCTACTAGAGGAGAAGTTTAGTCACTGGTGAGGTGACGGGGATGGTGGGTGTAGCTGCACTGCGAATACAAATATCATGTGCCTTAAATTTATCGATTACAATATTTATACTAGCGTTTTCTATTTGATTCCACTCATACTTACCCTTTTTTCCATTTTCTAACTGTTGCCCACATATTCTATATGCACTCCTCACCCAGGGTTGGTACTAATATTTCTAGAGTGTTCTCGAACCTGTTCGCAAGCCTGTCTACCGAGACATCGGCGTCGGTGGCCCAGTGGTTAGGACTCTTGCCGACCATGCATATGGTCCGAGGTTGGAGCCCACGCCGACGCACACCTGATATCTATGGTCGGCCTGCGAAATTTGGGCTATCGATATCCACGCTGAAAATTCCATACTTGTACCAAAAATACGGTGTGGAATCAAGCTGTAATCAAACATTAAAAAATAAAAAATAAATAAAAATAAATCACTCACAAGTCCCAGCTGTAACACTTCTGTCGTATCAACAATATATATTCTCCTCTGAAATAATTACATCACCTTTCTATTATGTTTAGCACGGCCGCGACAGCCATTGGTATAGACTGTCTGCACCGACATCTACCAAATTTCTGGACTGTTGAGAAGCGACAGGAGAAGATAGTGAGAAAATCGTTGTCATGACAAAGATACTGGATCTCTCACCGTGATCAATTACTTCTCCATTTAAAAGAACGACTTGAATCTATGATTAGCCAAGCTTTCTCTGTGTTTGGAGTTGGGAACAGAGAAAAAAGGCTAGTTAGTATGAATTCGATAGATGATATTACAAACATCCCGGTGGTGATTGGTTGAATTACAGAAGTTGATCGAGTCATTTGGAATAGAGCCTCTCACAACTATCCTGGAACGGTTCTCGTTACTGTGTGGAAAACGGTTTCCGGCGACGGAGGTGAGAGCACCAAATGTGGTTATTCGATTATTCGATACACTTTGGAGTACATCATAACAGGTTCCACTCACATTTCAAAATGGACAGCATCCTGTGTATTGAGTTATTTCGAACAGGCAAGTTTTGTGCATAACTGATATGATGAGATGACTCTCACGTAATTCATTCATGTATATCGAAGAGAACGGAAATGGGTGACAAATGGAAAAATAATGGATGCAGTCGATTAGATGTGTGAGAGAAATTTGAAGAAATGTAAAACTATTGATAAAAAAAATTTACATGGAGGATTTCAACATGACTGGGATCGGTTAGAGAACCACTGGAAAACCTGGGAGTACTGAACAGCTGTTTCGTCCTAGTTTGGGGCTCTTCGTCAGTACGCACCCACCAATGCTTGAAAAACAATTTAACTAACATGAGCAACACTACTCTTTCAGAGAGAGTAGTTGAAAAATATAAGTATAAAACTTGGGCACTGCGGTAGAGTATAACTCCACTTTATTATTATTATTGCTCCCTTGGGTTCCTGGTGGAACATAGGGCTTCAACTGCACGTCTCCACTTGTTTTCCGTCTTGCTTCTGCTGTAATTTTCACCTGCATCCTGTTAGTCCATACTGTTTCAACTCCTCTTCACACGATCTCCTCCATGTCACCCTTGACGTCCCACACGCCGCTTCCCTTTCGGGTTCCACTCGAGGAGTCTCCTCAGCGAGTGTCCGATCCATCTCCACTTTCTCCTGCATATTTGTTGGTTGGCGATTGGTTCTTGCTTTGTTTGTTCCCATAATTTCTTGTTGGTGATTCTTTCCGGCCCGGCCATCTGATCTTCACTATAGAGCCAGCGAAGACAGTTGTTGGTTGATAAAGGTCTGCAACAAGCTGTTGAAATTATTGTTTGTGACCCCCCGCCAAGTTTCTGATCCATAGAAAAACTGACTGACTTGACGTTGTTGTATTGAAAATCCGACCGAATTTTGTTGTTGATGCTGAGTGACGAAGATTTCCAGATTGGTTTCAGGCTGGTTGATGAATGTGTTTCTCGCTCGCCTTCCCGATTCCCGCTCGATTTGACATCCTCGTCCGTTCTGACTGCCTGTAGTTGAGACAATGCTCCCTAGATAAGTGAGTGAATGAAGTAACCTCTTTCAAATCCCTCCCGTTGATGGTGATTGATGTTGGATGTTGTTGTTGTTTGTTGGTGTGGTTGGTTGGGTATTTTCATAACCTCCGTCTTGTCTATGTTCACTTGGAGTCCTGTCTTCGCCGGCTGCTTCTTCGACCAGTTTGTCGGTTTTCGCTTGTAAGTCTTCGATTGTGTGTGAAATCAAGCATAAATCATCCACGCGCGAAATCCAGGTCTTCTAGGTTCTTCACGTCGGTCGGTCCAGGAAATCCCTGTCTTCTTGTATCACAATCTTTCCCTCTAACCGATCCGTCCAGCCAGATCTAGAGAGCACAAATACTACGACTGTGCAGTCGGATCCTGTCAAGTAGAGAATCTTGTTCTGTCCTAAGACTTAGTGGTATTCCTAAACCACCAAATCCTAGAGAACTAGCAAAATAATTTCCTGATACCTGGTTAGGTAAATTTTGCAGATTCACTCTGTCGGCCCCACACACAGGTGGGGTTATGTGAATGACCACCACACTCAGGTTTTGTACGTGTATCATCGCCGAAGTCCAACATACATCCATAAATAAAGATGCCAGTGTTACGCTAAGTGATTCCTGTTGTCCGAAAAAGCGATTTGTTTTTCATTTATGTTATGTTAGAAGGGTCCTATCCTGATACTGAATGCTCTAGCATTGTTAACATCCAGAAAGCCCTATACAGAAACACCTCAGGTAGAGTGAGGGCATACAACCAACTATCACCACTGTTCCCAACCAACAGTGGGGTTAGACAGGGTTGCCCAATCTCTCCATTTCTCTTTGACCTTGCCATCGATGACATTCTGGAGTCAGCTCTGAAGGATGTGCGTGAAGGTGGTGTAGATCTGCTACCTGGAGATAGACTTTTCGACCTCGAGTATGCAGACGATATCGTCCTACTGTGCGATAGCATGCAGGCTGCCCAAATCGTACTTAATCAGTTGGCGATCAGTGTCTGTAAGTATGGTATGTGCTTTGCGCCGTCTAAGTGCAAAGTACTGTTACAAGATTGGCAGGAGCCTGTACCTGCACTCACTCTTGCGGGTGAACCGCTTGAAGTTATTGATAAGTTTGTGTATCTGGGTAGTTGTGTGAGTGCTGGCGGAGGGTGACGGATGAGATTTCCAACCGTATAATGAAGGCTAGGGTGGCATACATCAACTTGAGCCACCTATGGCGCCGTCGCGACGTTAGCCTGGCTGTCAAAGGTCGGGTATACAATGCTTCGGTGCGAGCTATCTGCTCTACGCCTGTGAAACCTGGCCTCTCCGAGCTGAGGATGTGCGGCGACTCTGCGTGTTCGATCACCGCTGTCTCCGCAGGATTGCTTGCGTTCGATGGCATCATCGCGTGAGTAATTCTGAGGTTCGGCGGCGTGTGTTTGAACACAGTGGAGATCACCATTCATTGAATGTCGTCATCTGGAAACACCGGCTCCGGTGGCTTGGACATGTGCTCCGAATGTCACCCCAGAGGCTTCCGTACAGGTCTCTGTTCGCTAGCCCTGGGACGGGATGGAAAAGGCGGAGAGGTGGTCAGTCCATGACGTGGCGTCGTGGGATGAAGGATTTTTGTGCTAGATTAGCATCGGTTGGTGTGTCACGACTCCCTGGTTGGGGTCCGAGAGATAGCTCAAATCGATGGCTCGAAACGTTATCGGATATGGCCAAGAATCGTAATCAGTGGCGAATGTGTTGCGATTTCCTTCTTTCTTCCCTTCCCGATGATAGCTAACGAACACTGTTTGAACTTGTTAAGCATGACTGTTTTCCTTCCAGATGAAGTTCTTTATCCGTTCTCTACTTATATATATTTTTTCTTTTCCTTCCTTCCTTTTTTTTGATCTATGTTGTTTTATTATTATTGTGTGGCGCATCTTTCTTGGTGCCATATTGTACCAAGTTTTTTATGCGTTTAAATAAATAAATAAGTATGAAGCTTATAGCGTGAATTTAAGCGACTCAGTAATGCTGTTTTCCAGCTCAGGTCGTTATTAATGGTTGTAGAGTGAAGAGAAGATGAGGGGTCTAGACAAAAGAAGGAAGATGGTGATGAATGATGCTCAAAAAAGCAGCTGCTGCTAGTCACCACCACCACCACCACCACCATCCACCAAATTATACCATAAAATGTTCAAAACTAATCAATCAGAGATATAAAAATTGTTTTATAGGCACTATTTACATCATATTACAAGATAATGCTATGAATAACCGATACATCAGACAATTCATATACGTGATTCTTTAACAGTTTGTTCCTTTGCTCCAACTCCATTGATATTACCGTCCTCATCATCAGCTTCACCACCATCATCATCATCATGTTCACTGCGAGAACTTTTAGATCTACTTTGACTAACAGGGGTATAGTACAGAGAGATATCCAAAAGAAATCTTTCACCGGTAGGGGCACAATGAATTTCACCCGATTTAATGAAATTACCTGCCAATATCAAAGAAAATCGATTTTAGAATATAAAGGAATATATATAAATACATAAATAAAATAAATTAGAATACAATTGGTAGATGGTGGCTAGCAGTGGAATCCAGGATGCGCATTTCGTCCTATTTGGGACTCGTCTCCAAATAGGACGAAATGCGCATGCTGGATTCCACTGCTAGCCACCATCCACCAATTGTATACTAATTAAATACCCAGACATCGTCGAAGCATCTGCACAAGAAGCTGACATGTCAACCTGAGACCGAGCACTTCGGTCCAATCAATCGTCGGGAAAATCGAAAATTCAATTCAAAAATAAATTAGAAATTTAAAACAATTAGTTCCCTTTAATGAATTTAGATAAAGCAATAAGAAGGAAGATGTATTTTGTCTGAATCATCCGTGTAATGTAAGAGCCTTAGTAAGCGAGATGCCTCTTCAGTAGAATCCAACGAATATGCACTGAAGACAGACACACTTGATGAGGAAGGAACAAAGAAAGTTGACACAAACTCTGGTTGATAACAATTATCCAGACAAGTTCATCAGCAGATATAAAGTAGTAGTCGGAGCACCAAGACCTACTCTACAACTCGCCCCTAAGAAGGACGTGTACGATCAAGCTACCTAGCCTACATGGGGGATCATAGCAGCTTGATAACTAGACGAAGATTGTACACTGCTGTTAAAAAGACATTTTATGCAGCTAATATCATAATAATTGAGAATGTTAAGCCAATATATCTATCTAAGCCCTTCGAACATGCGAAAAATAACGTCACATCCCACTGTATTTACCAATTTGAATGTACGAGCGAACACATACACATACATAGAAGGATTCATAGATCTCTGCAAATAAGGGCTGGCTTCAGAGCATATTCCTAAATGGCTCCAGAACCTATTAATGGTGAGAACAGAAGACCTAGCTCTTCTATTGAGAAACATATGATAGGGACAGGACATAAAATTGACGTTAACAGATCTTTTAAACCTATCTATAAAACGTCTTTGGGGGAGAGTCTCATCCTAAAGTTTGTAGAAGCCCTAGCTGGTAATTAGAAATTTTAAACCACCTTTATGCGTTCAAAGCAACAATTCATCATCACACTAAACCTTCTTTGGTAAACTTTGTTTTGATACCAGCCAGGGTAGATGCACTATTACCTCTTTTATTTGGTTTAGTGATTGATCTTCATTGTTATTTTGACCTTCACTATGTCCTTTTAACTAATTGATCTAAGTCTATTTCTATTTCTCACCTCTTAACTCTTTATTAATTTCATATAAACACCTTCCTATGACAAGTCCGTGTGTGATCAGATTGTTCGAAATGTGTTGCGCAAATGCAACATTAAACGATTCAGACAAATTACGTCGTCTTATTGCTTTAACAAAATAAATTAGGTTTAGAAAGGTAGGAAGACTATATAGGGTGGGATATACACCCTGAAAGCGAGTGAGAATTACATTACAAGTCACCATCAGAGTCTACAGGGTCGTGGAGATACACCTCCTACGTATCCAATGTACCAACAACAATTGAGATAAAAAATAATAATAAATAGGCCCCTATTCAGACGACTAATTTGCCGTCATTGGGTTCTAGTCTCACTCGACTAAATTCAGGTAATTCTGATCGTTATTGAAGTGTTGGTTTGCAAGGATTTCATTTGATTGGTTACCACAGGATTTCATCATGAGCTGACATCGGTTAGAGAACCATTGAAAACCAGCTGGGAGTACTGGACAGTCTAGTTTGGGGCTCTTCATCAGTTTGCATCTGATATGTAGTCACATAATGTGTTTTGTTTTTGACAGTCTGATAAATTTTGCTATGTGTACATTGATCGATATTTCATTATAATCCATAATATGCTTTGTCTCTCAATTAACTAGATAAACAATGTGTGACCTTGTTATCACATGACATTACAACCAATCAGAATCCAATGATGGTAAAAAAACTACCTGTCTTATTGGTTCATGTGTATTAGTTATTTTCATATATACTTTTGCATTGTGCACTTTTACACACTTATTCACACATTACGTACACCACGTACCCTTCACTCTCACACTTAAATGACAGTCATCAATTTTCTTTGTTTGGAAAAATACAAGTATCATTGTGAACGTGGTGGTCTTCTGATTTGCCTCTTTCCGCGGCAGGACTATAAACTACTCGACGAGTACATAACAGAAAATCATCCACCGCCACGGTCCAAGCCAGGAACTTCCGGTTACAAGGCGAGCTCGTGGAACATTAAACCACTGGGACCCAATCCAGTGGCCCACAAGCCCGAATAGGGGCGAAGTTAAACTTTCGACACCACTAACTACCAATCAGCGAATTATCCAATGAGATTCACGAACGATGTCGAATTATCCAATGAGGTTCACGAACGCAGTTCAATGTTGTTTAGCGCTTGATTCATTTCCAATGCGTGACCTTACAAAGCTATTGTTGCAATTCAAGGAGGTTAGCGTTTTCCAGTATTTCCTGGATTTGAGTTGCGCCGGAAAGAGCGAATTTGTTTGTGTGGTGGTATCATGACTTTAAAAAGCTATACCAAATCAACTGATGGGTTTGTTCATCGTTGTGCTATATGTTTGAAGCCTACTAATGCTAGAAAGAGTAAGCTGATAATTTTAATATTTCGTAGGAACTTTTTTCGCTAGGTCGCTTCTCTCCCTAAGGATAGCAGATAGAAAAGCAACTACTCTTATACCTATTATTACCAGACTTGTTAAGCGGGGGTCAACTATACACACCGACGAGTGGAAAGGCTACAATTCACTGTCATCTCTGGCATATATTCATCATAGAGACAACCATTCAAGTGATTTTGTGGATCCCGTTACGAGGACACATACAAATTCTATTGAAGGATTTTGGGGCAGGTTGAAAAATAGGATAAGGGCTATAAATGGATCTCATTTATGGTCATTTGGATGAATATATGTACAGGATAGGGTGTAACTTCTCCATTGACGGTCCCATGCTAAACTGGGAGGTGTTTCTCTCACATGTTCGAGAAAGATATCCCATGTAACTTTTTTATTCTCTATTTTATGCTTTTTTCTACAAATATACATTTCCATTCATCATATATGCCTCTTTAATGTGACTGGTCCGTTCAAGGTCGTTTGCTGATTGGTTGTCAGTGGTGTCGAAAGTTTAACTTTGCCCGAATAGGTATGTGATAATGTCTCTGATTCCAGTACTGGATCACCCCAGTTCGCATCTCGGAATTCATGAGCCATCGGACCGGGTCCCAATGGCTGAATGGTCTACGAGCTCGTGTTGTAACCGGAAGGTCGTGGGCTCGAACCCTAGCAGTGGGGGTGGGTGCGTAACGATGAAAAGACCCAGAAAACTAGGACGAAACAGCTGTTCAGTACTCCACTGGCGGTTTTCCAATGGATCTCTAACCGATGTCAGCTCATGATCAATACATATGACTTCTGATTACTTTGCACACAAAGTGTATATTTCTCACGTCTTCAATGTGTAAGAGGGTGTACTTTACACCAAGTTAAAACTTAAGATCAGAAAAATAAAGAGACTGGCACACATAGAGAAAGTCAGACGGGTAGGCGGTCACAGTACAGATATCAACATAACAGAGGTCGACATCACCAGACTCTTCCTACCACTGGAGTTAACTCTGAAATCGGTGATATATTCAGCAGCTTATCAAAAGGCATACATATATACACCACTTAACAGCTATTTCGATAATAATGGTGCACATTTCATGTAACCACCTCAAGCAAACTCTTACGCTGAATAGTTAAGGAGAGTCTAAAAGATTCTCCTAGTACAAAACTCCGCCATAAACAAGCTGCATTCAGAAAAAGTAAATCATATGTGGAACAAATTGCAACGGTACGCATAATCTGCGGAAAACATTCATAAATGCCAAAAAACAGTTGACCGCTATGTGATGACTCCGTATCCCGCATACTTCACAACAGAAAGCTCAACACAACCTCTACAGTGGATATAGAAGACACAGAGAATTGTTCACCATGATCGATCAGTATCCTGATGACCTTTGACTTGATCGGGTAGGAGAACGCGGAGGGAAGCCGGCCATACGTTGGACCAATAGTTAAATCCTGGGATGAGTTATGTCTCGTGTTGCACAAACCGAAGACATACAAGCGAAAACCAACAAGTTGGTAAAAGTGGCAACGAAGACACCGATTCAGATGAACATGGAGAGAAGACAGGAGTGATGAAGATACTCGACTGCCGCCGCCAAAAACAACAAACACCAATCATCTTCATCATCAGCAGCAGAAGAAGAAATTCACATGAAGGCATCTCTTCCACTTAATTGGCTAGACTGTATCGTTTCAACTACAGGCGGAATGGATAGGGATGTTATAGTCAGTCTGGGCTTCATTACTCGGGCATAAGGAACAAGATTTGAATTTTCGACATTAATGTCAAGTCAGTCAATAACTCTACATGATTCACAGAATTGGCGTGTGCGCGCACGTCACTAAAAGCCTTTCCAACAGTCTACAACTGCCCATTATCCCCATTTCTATTCAATTGTATCATAGATGTACTAGTGGATTTAACACTCACTTCAGAAACTCAGGGATTGACTTGCTACCAGGGAATAATCTTGCTGACTTAGAATAAGCAGATGATATAGTCCTCCCTCCAAGGTGAAGACGCTGACAAAATTCAGAGTCTTCTGAACACCTTGAGCTGCAATCTACGAATGTTTGGCATGCGATTCACTCCCGCCAAATGCAAGATGATGTTACAGGACTGGACTACATCGACTCCTAGATTAGAAATAGGAAGTGAAGTGGTAGAGCACGTTGACCACTTCACTTATTTGGGAAGTACCATCAGACAACGCCAACAGGTTGATCTCTGACGAAATCTCATCACGGATACAGAGGGCTAGTTTCGCATATGCCAGTTTACGCCATCTCTGGCGTAGACGTAATATCCGGCTAGCTGTCGACCAAAGGGCGAGTGTACTGCTCAGCATTCCGTTCCGTCCTCCTTTATGGCTGTGAGACCTGGCCATTGAGAGTGGAAGACATGAAAAGCCCATCTAGCTGGTTGTCTTTCATCATAGGTGACTGCGTTCCATCTGCCAAGTTAGGTGATATAATACAGTGAGCAATATTGAGGTTAGGCGTCGAGTTCTAGGTAAGGAGGGGAAATCAGTTGAACAAGCTGTGAAATTACATCGACTGAGATGGTTAGGACATGTGTTACGTATGCCTAGTCATCGCCTTTCTCGACGAGCAATGTTAGCGGATATAGGGTCAAGTTGGAAAAGAGCTAGCGGCGGTCAAACCAAAACATGGCTTCATCAGTCAATAAAATCCACAACAATTAGTTTAAGCCAGCTAGCCACGTAGGGACGTGCAGACTTCCTGGTTGGGGTCCTCGGGACAGTAAAAACCAATGGTTGGGAACAATCCGTGATATGGCTCAAAATCGTTCTCAATGGCTGGTGCAGATGCATCCACTCCTTATGACTTATGATTTCCAATGAAACTATATTGTTCTTCGTTACTTCTACTTCTTTGTCTCACACCTCTGATTACTGTCTCTATTATGCATTTCTTCTGCCCTCTTCTCTTGCTTTGTGTGCTACATGGAGTGTGGCAACTTCAACTGGTGCATATCGGTGCAGAGTTTTATGTCGAAAACAGACAGACAGACTACAACTGCAGACGCGACCGACCAACAGCTGCCTTCGCTGTCTCCATACTGACGGAGTAGATGGCAAGAAAAGATAAGTGCAAGGAGGAACTCTAGAAATGAACCAAACAAGAAGCCCAACAAATATGCAGAATGGAATGGAGATGGATGGCTGAACATACGGTGACTGAGTGACAACTCATCATTTCAAGCATACCATACACACTCGAATAGAACCCAAATGAGATGCGACGTATTAGTTAAGCCACCGAGGGTAACATGGAGGAGATTGTATGAGGAGGAAATGAAAGTTGATGAACAATCGTAGATCCAGTTAAAAATGATAACAGAGAACAGCAGAGTGAAATGGTGTGATGTGGGATCGAGAGAGAGAAATAATCAATTTCACTGTAATTGCAGATAAATTGTTGACAATTCTTGTTCATGTAACTGTACTGTACTCACCGCTGATACGATTCGACTTTTCTGATTCAATACAGTCTAAATAACAACGTAAATTCTCCTCCAATTGACTGACATCCCACGACAGCTACAATTGTATAAAGTAAGAAAACATATTACAATTCTAAAATGAATAAAAGACTATTTTACATGGAAGAATAAAATGTATCCGCATTTTATTAGACTAGAAAATGTAACTCATAATAACAGACTTCATGTTTTTGATGTGGTTGTGTTCTCTGAGCTAGCTGGGTGGTGGTCTATTTGCGAAACTTTCATTGCCCCAACACACTAGGCAACATCCTCACCTCAGCACATACTTCAATTTGAATTGAAGTGAGCTTTTAGATTTCTTCACGAGTTTATTAGTCATCTCTCCTGGTAGATGACCTTCAACGTGACTCTTTGGTTGTTTTTGTATGTTTTCATACCTTCTAGGCTACTTGTATTGGTACTGATTGTTTCCTTGACCCTTGAAGTTTGACACTGTCTGTGTGGGATCTTCTTCTTACCGATTGGTAAATTTTTGTCAATGTCGATGTGTCCATTGATTGACGATTCACTGGAATACCAACCAGGCAGCCTTCTAAAAATTCTCTAGCATTCTTGGTGTTTCCTCTGTCTAATATTTGAACGTTGGTTATCCCAGTCGAATTCATGTCCGTGGTTGTCTGTATGTAGCGATATGACGGAGTGGATGTCATGATGTCCCTCATATCACTGCATACACACAACCACGGACATCAATTCGACTGAGACAACCAACGTTCAAATATTAGACAGAGGAAGCACCAAGAATAGTAGAGAATTTTTAGAAGGCTCTCGAGTATTCCAGTGAATCATCAATCAATAGACACATCGAGATAGACAAAATTTACCAACCGATAAGAAGGCGACCTCACACAAAAAACGTCAAAGTTCAAGTCAAGGAAACAATCAATACCAAAGAGTCACGTTGAAGGTCATCCACCAGGAGAGATGACTAATAAACTCGTGGAGAAATCTAAGGACTCATTTCAATTCAAATTGAAGTATGTGCTGAGGTGAGGATGTTGCCTAGTGTGTTGGTGCAAAGAAAGATTCGCAAATAAACCACCACCCAGCTAGCTCAGAGAACACAACCACATTAAAAATCATCCACCTGAGTTACAAATCATCTCCATCATATCTACAGACTCCATGTATTACATGTTTGGTGGCATTTAGCAGGAAGCCCAGTCTGACCAAGCTTTCTTGCTTCTTGGCACTCACCAGTCGGCAAGGTGTATCTACAACCAACTTGAAGGAACTCATGTCCTTTGTGAGATTCAAACCGGCGTCACCAATCAGTGTCGCAGTCTAAGATGTTACCACTGAGCAATTCGCGCTGGCGATTGACCTCCCGTAGGATACTTTGATTGGACGCTAGCTAGTAACTAGTGTAATGTGTCTAGTCATTTGTTTGGTGCAGACTGAATTCTATCAATGGACTACTCAACGGACTCCGTTATAACGTGATATGGTGTAGTTTTTATAAAGCCGTCTCGATGCAGAAAATTCTTTGTGCCACACGCACACATATGTTAAGAAAATAGATAAACTTCACAATGGGATAATCATAGATATAGCGATCGAAGCTTAGTGAATCAACCAATAGGTGATAGGTATGCCAGTTTGAAGATATGCACAATCTTGAATTTATATTCCCACTTTTTTTTTTACTTCGGCTATCTCCTACGGGAGGATGAGCCGACTTCATGAACCATGAAGTTTCATGGGAATTGGGTACGAGTGATGTCCCCAGCATCGCTCGGCCTTTTGTTTGAGAGTGCAGCTCCAGCCTTTACACAACCAAGTGTGACCTACAAGGCAGTAGGAGTGGAGTAGGGAGTCCACTATCCATTGGAAGCCGGTGACCGGAGTCCTGCTCATTCGCCTTTTTGAATGGGGCCAGTCATCCAGGGCATCCAATAAGCCCTTTGTCCATACGTCTGTCGGTGAACTCCGGTGAGCTTCATACGCCAGTCGTTGGAGGTTTGGAATCAGGGTTTAGCCATCTCCCCTAGACTGTCATCCAATGAACAGTCAACCCGGTGAAGAGCGCCGGGCATCCGCTTTTGCCCTCTCACTTTGGTGAAAAACACCTCCGCTACGTGAAGGCAGTGAGTAGGACTTCCTCAGGAGAGGCTATGTAAGACGCCAGGTCATATGGGAGCATTTCAAGAGGTGTACGGAGGGGTGGCCAACCCGCAGCGCAAGACACCCACCCCCGACCATCCTGAGGCTTTGGAGGCAATTCCCACTTAGTCCGCCTCTTTCCCACCACCACCACCACCTCTATAGGATTGACATTTAGCCAATAAAAATGGAGTGCAACAGTGGGGGTTGGTTACTGATCACCTATTGAAGTGATTCTGGTCACATTATCTAACGACATGGATGAATAAATACCTACACTGACTGGAGCTAATTTCCCTAAAGGTCTTGTCATGCCAAAAAAGGTCATTTGGATAGCGGTCAGACTGAAAGCACCTACTATCATATTGAAAGCGTTATGCACTATGTTGGGTGGGGTGTTTGAGGGTGAAGTTGAACTGCTAGCTGGCTAACAGAGAACTAACAAACAACAAGCCACCTATGCTGCGAAGAAGGGGAAGCCTGAAAATAGTATACATCCCGACTTATCCTACATCGATCCATAGCCGTTGGTGAGTACATAATACGGATGCAACTGTAAAAAACTAATTCAAACACGCCGTTGTATGACCAGTCACAGGCGATTGTCCCCTGGACTCTACTGTCCATACTATACTAATTTTCTTTCTCTTTCAGTTACCCCAAGAAAAAACCAATTCCCATGGTGTGGGCAGCCGGAAAGTAATGACCAACCAGAGAATTTCGTAAGCGCACAAAGCCTTTCTGACCAGCATTCATCTCCATCTCTTTGCTTTTCTTCCATTTCTACAGATAGCTAGGCTGCTGCTGAAGGTAAAATGCTCAAATGTAGTCATTTCAGTAGGTGACTTTAATGCACAAGCAGAGAGAAACAGTGCCAAACAAAAAAGTATACTTGTGGCACATATGGAGTTGCATACTGACGTCAGCATTAACTCCAAACGATAAGAAGAGACATTATCTGATCTGGTGACCATCACCAAATCAACGATCAACTCAAATAGATCACGTAGCTATAAGCTATCAATGAAGAGGACAGGTAGAAGACCACCGCTCCTTCCGCAACACACGCGTAGACCCCAATCACTCTCCCCCTCCGTGCACATAATATATGCCTACGACTGAACAAACAAAAGATATTCTTTTTTTCGCTGATTCCCCAAACATATACAAGAGTTTTTGTACAATCTGTGATTTACTGCCTTAGATACTCAGATTTCAGCAATGACAATGTTTGAAGAACGATGGTGAAATGGAACGTATATACAAAAGCTACGACGGACGATTACGAGTTAAAGCCGGGAGAGAAGAGTGACGTCAAGAAATAATGACTAGAAGATTAACATTTTCAGGTCAGTAAGGTATGCACAGAATAGAAATTTAGACAAGTAGAGATAGAAAAAACGAACAGAAATTCAGACATTACTATGCATATGCTGTGACACAAACAATCGCCAAAAGAGAGTGGAAAGAATGATTGATTAACGAATCTTTGTCCATCGAATCAATGCTCAAACAAATGTAGCTGGAATGACACAACATTACCAATGTAGTGAATTAGGAAATCTTACCACTATTGTAACCAAAGAATACAAAGTTATCAAGTATTGGTCTGCAGAATTTCATCATGAGTACTGGACAGTCAGCTGTTTCGTCAGCGTAGTTCGGGACTTCACAACTGCCCGCGCCAACCCCACACTCACGGGGTTCTAATCCAGGACCCTCCGATTACAATACAAGCTAGCTCATGGACCATTAACCCACCGGGACCCGAAAGAAATGGCCAGTCAATGAATTCCAACTTCTGCCAATTCACGATATAAAGCGACTGGCACTAACCAACGTCATCGCTGGCGACCTTTTATGTTGTGAATTGGCAGAAAAATTGGAATTTATAAATCATTGGATTGGCGGGCTCCAGTGGCTTAATAGTCTATGAGATCACCTTGTAACCGGAACGTCCTGGATTCGGACTCTGGGGGTGGGATGGGCGCGTACCACTGAGGAGTATCGAACTGCACTGGCGAAACACCTATCGATTACTCCACTGCGGGCTTTTTCAATGGTTCTCTAAACCAATGACAGCACATGATGAAATCCTGAATACAAAGTAACTAATCACCGAAAATACCCATTGAGTCATGAAGAGAATAAAAGACAAATTCAGCCAGCGAAGAAAATTTTCCTTATCGACGAAATCATCCTCAGAAGCTGTACACAATTGTATTTATATTCACCAAAAATGTATATGGTATATACATATATGTGTATGGTAGTCTCTCTTTCTGTTGCTCTCTTAGTCTGTGACCATTTCACTTTGATGAACCTGTCTCCTTTAACAATGTATATTCCCCTTATATTATATATAATATGTGTTTGTTGACAGTCTGTACTTGGTGATATATATCCATATAATATGTGTGTTTGTTGACATGTCTGCTATATTTTGCTATATATATATGGATCGATACTCCATTATAATTAGCCAATCATATTAAGACTGTCTATTGATTGTTCACACACTTGTTCGGACATTCATATATATTTTTGCTCTCACACTCTTGTGGGACAGATTTGATTCTCCTTGTGTTTGGAAAATAGAAGTATCATCGCAAACCTAGTGGTCTTCTGATTTCTGTCTTTCTTGCGTCAGGACTATTAAATTCTCGACCAGTACATAACAATAATTTGGCGACGAGTACATAATAGTATAGTAGTCAATTATTAGGGGGATGACATAAATGATATGATTACTCAGAAGTGGCTTTAGAAGTAAAAAAAAAATTAAAAGTTGTAAATTACGTGATACTCAACGGCACAAAGAGAGTAATTTGATAAGGTTAAAATTGCTTTTGAGTGAGAATAAAGGTGGTATTTGAGTGTCACTTTAACAAGTGTGAAGACGGTGTGAAAATGTACAAAAGGAACACATGAGAGTGATAATAGTGAATTAATTATTAAAGCAAAAGCAAACTAAAAGTAAAATTAAAAAAGGAAAAGAAAATATCAAATTTTTTTTTACAGGGAACGACTAGTGAAGAGGTTAAGACCAAGGTAGAAACAGAGACTGGACAAACTTTTTCTGTATATAGAGTTGTGGGTTGTATTGACGAATTGCCAGCGCCTCTGTCATACACAAAAGCCGAAACCTAACGCCCTTTGTACCATTCGGCTTCACCTTGTAGATGATCTTGGAAAGACGACTCCAGTGGAGTTACGTGGCCTGAATTCACTAAATGCTCGAGAATTGAGCTAGTAATTGTCTTGCATTGTCCCTTGGCTAACCATGCTGGATAATGTTCAGAGATGCGTTTGGAAAGCGTGCGCTTTGTGCCGGCGGCCAATATAACTAGATCCACACGAGCAGGTGAATTTATAAACACACATTGAGGTGGCCCAAAGCGGCAGTTTATCCTTCACAAAGTAACTAAATTATTTTAGTCAGATACTATGAGTTGTATGACAGAACCTATAGATTTACAGACAGCAAACGGAGTTCGACACACCTTCAATAAGTAATGTTGCATCATATAGTGTTGTTCTACGATAATAATATAAAGTAGAGGAGTTTAACACAAAGAGTGCCACCAACCTCTTTTACAACAAATAAAAAATATAACAAACTAACTAACTAACTAACTATTATTATAGTACCTGACCCAAAACTAAGTCCAAAAATGCAATTTCTGGAATTCCATCAATAGACGACGAAGCCAATTTCACACCATTCGAGTATGTGGAACAAAGACTGACTAAATCTTCACCTATTTTACCTATGTACAAAAACACGAGCAAAAAAAAAAACAAATTTTAAAAAAATAAATTAGAAAATTAAAGACAAATTTTTCACTCGATATCAATTTAATAGTTTCACTTGAAACTAATTAAATTTCTTCAAACCAACAACTGAAATTTAAAAGAAGTAAACAAGAAGTTCAGCAAACATGGCGATCTTTTTGGTGATTTCATTCTCAAAAGCAGCTGTACAATTGCATTTATATAGATTAGTTTTACATAGATGCAATTATTATTTGTTTAATCAGCACAACTGATGATTTCTAAGAAAGTGTTTCGTCTAACCTACTATATTAAGAAACTCGGACTAACTGGAGTCACTTAACCTCTGCTTTCACAATTTGTCAACTCTTGTATCCTACCTATTCTACTTTATTGCTCCCCATTAGTCTTTCCTGGGTTACTGAAAAAGGACTGACTATACCATCCTGAGAAGGATATTGAAGGTAGTTAGTAGGACTAGTGGTGTAAAACTCAGTCAGCTTGTCACTACATTAGTGGATAAGCATCTGAATACATGAGAAAAATGGTCTAAAACCATACTCTCTGACCCCCAACACCCCCTCATTTCCCAACTCTCTCCTTTCACCTCATCAGGTAGAACCAGAAATCAGTACAAAATAATATATGCTCGTACAACCAAGTATAGGAACTCAACGATACCATATTTGGCCCGTGTTCCAGGTGACAGAGACAGTGTTAAGCGCGGAACCTATGACTTGCTTTGTTGTTAATAACATAATTTTGGTCCTTATTATTTCCCCTTTATACTCTCTTATTTGTACTCTATAGTGAACAACCTTCTTAAACACACTTAGCTACCTAAAATTATTATCATTGGCTTACTTTTTTATTCTTTATTCTATTCTTTCTTTTATGTATCTACTGGCTTCGACTATATTATCACTATGATTATTACAAAATTGTCCTGTCATTAACCATCATGTAATATTAGCTTTGTGACAATCTTGGTTGTGAACGCCGTTATCACCATCCTAACATTTTGTATTATGCATGATTACTCACACTACCACAACAAACACTGCATTAGTGCTGACAATAAAAAATAAAAAACCCTGTAATGTTTATTTTATGATTGTTCAGTGTAGTTCAATCAAATTAACTGATCATCTTGGCTATGAACATTCTTAAGAACATCTCATAACTTCTTGTATGATTATAGCTGTTACTGTTCACCACGCATACACATATCATAGCTTCCACTACCCAATACTGAAATATTTTTTCATTATTGGTGTTTATCTTCCTTTCTACTTGGTATTTTTATTTGCGTTTTTTGTTATTTTTGTGTTTCTTTTTGGTTTTGTTGTTGTTTTTATATATATATTTTTTTTGTAATACTCCTTTTAAATGTGCGATGAAATTAGATGCAATATTGTAGATATGTGCTGAAAATTCCACACTGTACCACAAGTACTGTTTCTGGAATAAAAGCGAAATTATTATTATTATTATTAATTCCGCATAGTAACGAAGGTGATAATAATTTTTAACTTGATATGAAAGTTTGAAAATTTGCTATCATCGAAGATAAGAGCTATCAGTTTATTGATGTACACATCTCTAACTATAAGGACCATTCCCGAACCATTGTATGGACGTGTAAAATTCTCCTTAAAAAAAAGAGAATCTTCATTTCCCTGAAGAAGACTTTTCCTGCAGCAATTCTAAGAGTGATATTCTCTAGCCGTCCACTGCTTCGGAGCAATGTGAGGCACAGACTTCCACAAATGACCACTTCAGGATACCTATATTAGTTCACCTGCTCGTACGGAGTTAGGTACATAGGTCGTTCGTTCCATGAGGGTCCTATCAAAACGTGTTAAAGAACATGAAGCAGCATGTCTGCAAAGAAGAGGCACTGGCTTAATCAAGGGAGCCATAATTGAACACCTCGTCAACACCTGTCACAGCATCTCAACTGACTCATCATTCAGAGTCATTTACAAGGTAAACAAAAATCTACCTACCAAAACTTTTGAACCTATCTATAAAACGTGTTTGGGGGAGGGTGTATCCTGAAGTTTGTGGAAGCCCTAGCTGGTAATTAGAAATTTTAAACCAACTTTATGCGTTCAAAGCAACAATTCGTCATCACATTAAACCTTCTTTGGTAAACTTTCTTTTGATACCAGCCAGGGTAGATGTAGTATTACCTCTTTTATTTGGTTTAGTGATGATCTTCATTGTTATTTTGACCTTGAATATGTCCTTTCAACTTGACCTAACTTGTCTATTTCTATTCCTCACCTCTTAACTCTTTATTAATTTCATATATGCATCTTCCTATGACAAGTCCGAATGTGTCATCAAATTGTTCGAAATATGTTGCGCAAATGCAGTTAGGCGATTCAGACAAATTACGTCTTCCTTCTTATTGCTTTATCTAAACTTTTAAAAGTGAACTTCGGGTTTGGATATATATATATATATATATATATATATATATATATATATATATAACAATATTGTCCATACATGTAAAGAAAAAAATCTAATCTTACCATTTTTTGTGGTTGGTAATTTTTCTTTCAATATATGTCGTAATTTAAATAGATGACTTTCCCAACTTGGATGTGCCACAACAGAATCATATTCTCCCCAATGATAATATCCTTGTCCTAAGCGTTGAATAAGCTTTGATCCACCAGCATCGAATGCGCCTGCATTTAAACACTCTTCTGGATTATCTGTATCCTAGATCACATGAGGTAATTAAAGGTGAACAAATAGATGTTTAGAAGATGCTGAAAGGAAATGCCAATTATTGTGCACAAATATGGTTACTTATTCGAACTTTAAAAAAAACAACTAAAAACAGATGAAGAGGTGAACCGAAGACGAAACCTACAAGTATACTGGTGGCCGATAAAATCCTAGCAAGGATACAAACCACACTCAATTGATATTTGCTCATCTTGTCTAATCTTGGAAGCAAGGTGTAAAATCCGATTGGCCACTAAAAGACGTGTGTATACTGAGCTTTGGTCTACTTTACAGCTGTGAAAGCAGATGTGAGTAGACTGAAGGTTTTTGATCGTATGAGGCGGGATAGAATAAGGCTAGAATAAAGTTAGAAGAGTAGTCAAACCAAAATATGAAAGGAATACAATAGGCCACACTGATTATTCATCTATTATTATTATTATTATATCCTTTAATTCCTAGAGGAACATAGGGCTTCAGCTGCGCGTCTTCATTGACTTCGGTTTTCTGCCAACTTTTCCACCCCGCTCCAAGTCTGCCCACATGCTTTCATCTCCTCTTCACATAACCTCCTCCAAGTCACCCTTGCACTGACGACCAACTCGCCGCTTCCCGCTCGGGTTCCACTCGAGCAATGGCTTGCCTAGTGATGTCACTTAATGGTTTCCTCAGCGTATGACCAGCCAATTCATCTCCACTTCTTCCTGCACAATGTTGCACAATCGGTTCCCGCTGGGTTGGTTTGCTCACAGAGATCTATGTTGCTGATCTTTTACGACCGGCCATCCGATCTTGAGTACTGGGCGAATACAACTGTTAATGAAGGTCTGTAGTTTGTTTGATGTGCTCTTTATGACACACCAAGTCTCTGATCTGTATAGTAGCACTGACTGACTTCAAATTGGAGTTGAAAATCCGGATCTTATTTTCATTTTCCTGCTGAGTACTGTTGACCTCCACACAGACTTGAGAGTAATAAAAGCTTGTCTTACTTTCCCAATCTTTGCTTTGATATCGTCGTCAGTTTCGCCTGTAGTTGAAACGATGCTTCACAGGTAGTTGGGTGGGTAAAGGAGGTTGTTTCTCTCAGGCTCCTCCCATTTATGCTGGCTGATAGTTGTCTGTTGTTGTTACTGTCGCTGTTGGCCAGGAATCTTCATCTCCTCCGTTTTCTCTTTGTTCTCCTGAAGTCCTGTCTTTGATGCTTCTTCTATCGCCAAATTGTTGCTTTTCACTTGGAAATCTTCCAGTTTGTGGGAAATCAGACATATATCATCGGCGAAGTCCAGATCCTCCAACTTTTTTTTGTGTGGGTTCATTTTATTCCTGTTTCCTCATTGCCCGTTGTCTGTCGCATTATCCAATCTACTGCAATCAGGAAAATCATTGGCGATAGTAGACAGCCTTGCCTCACTCCCGTCCGTAAGTTTCCCGTTGTGGATTACTTGGCATGCAGCATTGTCGTACAACTGTTGGATGAGATGTATAACTGTCGATGGCACCCGTATTCATCTGACTCCTATGAAAAGAATGAAAGATGCACTGGACGCGCAACTCCGCCAACCGGTACAACTTGGATCCAGGAAAGGTAGATCATGTGCTGATCAAATTACAACTCTAAGCATCGTCATCACATAATAAAGCATAGGGCGGAAGTCAAACCCCTACCTCAATTTCATCGACTTTGGAAAGGCATTTGACGGTGTTAACGGTTAGGAGATTTGAAAACTGGTTCAACACCACGGCGTGTAGTGCCCAAATCTTTACCTACCTCATTCAACGTACCGTATGATAATGCCACGTACTAGGTAATTCACAATGGAAAACTCAGCGAAGCACTTGAAGTGGAGATAGGAATAAGATAACATTACCTGCCTACTATAACCGATGATATTCCAAATTATGGTGGACTGGATTTTGCTGGAAACTGTGAGGAGAGAGAAGACAAGAATACGCTGGACCACAGATAAGAAGACTTTGTAAAATCTTGACTTAGCGAACCATTTATGTTTAATGATGTCCAGCAAACTCGAAGACTTACTGGCAAAAACCAATAAACTAGCAGAAGAAGCAGTGTAACGAAGACAGGACTTCAAGTGGACACGGACAAGACAGAGATGGCGAAGATACTTGATCGCCAACAACACTAATAACCAGCTATAAATCACTATCAACAGAATAAATTAGAAGCAGGCTACCTCATTCACTTATCTGACCAGGCAACATTGTTTCACCTGCAGGTGAGCAGAACGGATGAGGTTATCAAAATCACACAAGATCGGAAAGGCAGGCGTTCATCATTTTGAAAAACTAGTCTGGAAATCTTCTGTACTCCACCTCAGCATAAACAACAAAATTCAGATTCTGTTCAACACCAATGTTAGGTGAGTCAGTCAGTCAGTCAGTTCTTCTATGTGGGTGAGAAACGTGCACTACGCTTCACGGAAAGTAAATATTTCTAGCAGACTACGGCAGACATCAACAACCGCCTTCGACGACTCCACACCGAGTATCAGATCAGATAGTTCGCCAGAAAGAATTAGCAGCCCAGAACCAACTGCTCAGCAAATATGTGGGAGGAAATTGAGATATATCGGAAACACACGGTGAAGAGACTGTCGAATGACATCGCGCTCGAGACTGACTGGCCATACAGTGGGATTTGGGTGGGAAACAGCGATTTGTACGTTAGTCAGAGGGTGACATGGAGGAGATCATTTATGGAGGAAGAGCTGAGAGACTGTAGGCAACCGTGGGATCTAGTGGAGACGATTGCGGGAAATAGGACGAAGTGGAGCCGTGCGTTCCCACTCGGAATCCAAGGGAACAAACAATAATAATATTTTTCAATAGTTGCTTTGTAAGGCTTAGATTTGCTTTTTACGAGTTGATCATGGATTGATGTCATTGAAAACCAGCGCACTGGAGTACTGTCAGACAGCTGTTTGATCCTGGTTAGTTTGGTAATTCATGGGCCATTGAATCAGATCCCAGTGACTGAATGATATATGAGCTAGCTTACCTTGTAACCGGAAAGTTCTAGGTTTGAATCCAGACAGTGGGGTGAGTGAGTGCGTACTGCCGATGATTCCCGAACTAGGATGAAACAGCTGTCCTATACTCGAGTGCTGGTTTTCAATGGTTTTCTAACTGATGACATCAATCCGTGATCAACTCGTAAAAACAATAATAATAATACATGGAAAGGTTTAAGATGCTTTATTGGAGTCACCCGGATGTTAAGATTTAGTTGTTGTAGACTCCTAGTGGAATAATTCTTAAAATCGTTTAAAATGAAACAAACTCATTCATCTTCTTATCACTATGGAAATTCTGTAAGCCTCAATTAATCTACACATTGAGTTATCCTTAAATCTATACTCGTGTTTACGTGAGGACTAAAATCGATGAGCTATGTAACTCGCATCACCACGACGTTATTCGCCAAAATAATAGATCCATAAATGCCTGTTTTTAATGCCATACTACTACTCACAGCCTTTAAAACTCACTATCCCAATCATAGTCAATAGCTACCCCAACTAATTAACTGACCGATTGCGTTTCAACGTAGAAATTACCACGGAAGTACTACAGTTCAAGTTACTACAACACCTCATGTACCACACAAACGTAGAGAAAATGAGATAATAAACAATATTCAAAAGAAATGTACTGGAGAAAGAATACACACTTGCATAGAGAAGCATGAGGACTGAATGGATCTGGGAGGTGATCAAGAGAATGAATGCACCCGGACCGTAGGGACGATTTTGAGTCATGTCACTAATAGTTTCAAGCTATTGGTTTATTACCATCCCAATGATCCCAACCAACCGGACTGGTAGTCCACACATCTCTGTGTGAAGCTCACTCAAATCAACAGTGAAAGATTTTGATGGATTACTCAATGAAGAGGGCGAACCATTTCATTCGATGTCGCTTCACGGTCTGATTGATCGAGTTGCCCTCTCTCGTTACCTAACAACCTACTACTCCTGACCTCACCTCAGTATTACTCATCATACTATATTACTTTAAATAAGAGAAAGAATGCAAACATCTGTGGTTTCAAGCAACCATTTGATTATGTTGATACACCCTTAGATAACAGACTGACGTATTTAAGTGTTTGTTCACAGGTATTGGACTGGTAACAGGATTTTCATCATGCGCCGACATGAGTTCGAAAACCATTGGAAAACCCGTAGTGGACTACTGGACAGCTGTTTCGTTAATCTTGTTTGAGACTGTTCACGGTTTGGACCCAAGACCTTCCGGTTACAAAGCGAGCTCGTACGTAATTACGTACCATACACAGATAATGCTTCAAAGTGGAAAAAGGTATCTACGATATTATGTAATTCTATGCTAACGAAATATTCATCCATGAATTCTTAAACCATAACAGCAGATTAATAATGAGATCTCGAAAAACCAAAAAATTGAGCAAAGAATATACTTTAAGATAATTTCCTCTTCTGGCTATACAATCAATCGACGGGAAAATCTAAAATTCAATTAAATTAACATGCCCCATTGCACAGGAGGTGGCTCTCGTGGCCCAAGTGGTCTAGTGGATACCGCTTTGGCGTTTAAAACTATGGGCACTGCGTTCGAACCTCGGTGGGAACATCATCACTCACTGGGAAATGCAGGTACATCCAGATGACAAGTCTCAACTAGGATGAAATGCGCTTTCTCCTGGATTCCACTGCTAATCACCATTTACCAATTAAATTCCAATTATATGTATGTTTATATACTTAGAATATTCTAGAATAGTCGTCAATGACAATATTGGTGTTTTGACTGCTCCTACGGAGCCAGTTACATAGGCAGTAAAATTGGGCGTGTTTATCGTCGGAGATCTGAACACCATCCTGTGTGGTTAATTAAAGGACAAACAAAATTCATTCATAGCTCTGTTCTACCTCACCCCGTGGATACAGAACACAAGATTGATGTTAACTAGGCCGTTTTCAAAGTCATCTACTGCATACCAACATATTTTAACTTCGCCTTAAGAGTTCCTTTACTAAATATTGCTGAGGCTGGCTGTTGGGATCCACATCAAGAAGCCTAATTTATGTGTCCAAAAGCAGCTGGTTCACACATTATCCTTACCTTGGTCATCAAGGCTCTAATGATGCTCAATTTGTTGTGGAAATCTCCTTAATTTTATTTAATACTCTATTTACTATTATATTTAGATGCTTGTTATAATTTGTGCATCTTTAGTGAATTGTGATCTTAACAAATTGATATTATTTAAACGAAACATCAATATTGTTATTGACTACTATTCTAGAGTATTCTGTGTATATAAACATGCATATATAATTGCATATCCAGAAGAGGAAATCATCGAGAAGAATATTCTTTGCCCAATTTTTACTTTTGTTTTTTCTACATGTCTGTCACCGCGTTTCGTGGGATGGGATGAACATGAAACCAAAGCCAAAAAAAGGAGAAGAATGCAGGCGCAGGTGCCAAAGAAAACACTTTATTTGAATCTGGAATTTAGTGGAGATCTAGCACCAGCAGATATCCTTAAAAGGAGAATCTCCAGTTTCCTGAAGAAGACTTTTCATGCAGTAACTCTAATAAGAGTGATATCCTCTAGCCGCCCACTACTTCGGAGCAACGTGAAGGACAGACTTCTGTATATGACCACTTCAATGTGGATATATCAGTTCCTCTGCTCGTGCGGAGTTAGGTACATAGGTCATTCTATGCGGGTCCTATCAAAACTTGTTAAGGAACATCATCCAGCATGTCTGCAGAGAGGAGTCACTGGTTCAGTTAAAAGCGCCATAACTGAACACCTTGTCAACAACTGTTACAATATCTCAACTGACTTATCATTTAGAGTCATTTACAAAATAAACAAAAATAGATATAATTGTAGAGCCGAAAAAGGAAATCATCAAAAAGAATATTCTTTGCTCAATTATTTTGTTGTTGTTTTTTTTCTAGATGTATGAATTAGACCACAGTTTATGTCCGATTCTAGCATGGATGGGGGAGGGGGGTTATGTTGTCATTTTTAATGTGACAATCTGTCTTCCAGTCTGTCTGTCTGTCTGTTTTCAACCGATGTGCAGCAGTTCAAGTCGACACACTCCCTCCTTGTAGCACACAAAGCAAGAGAAGAGGGCAGAAGAAATGCATAATAGAGACAGTAAACAGAGGTGTGAGACAAAGGAAGAGTAATAACGAAGAACGAAACAGTTTCATTGGAAATCATAAATCACAATCAGTTAATGCATCTGTGCTGTCATTGAGAACGATTTTGAGCCATGTCACCGATTGTTTCCAACCATTTGTTTTTACCATCCCGAGGACCCCAACCAGGAAGTCTACACCTTCCTATGTGGCTTAAACTAACTGTTGTGGATTTCATTGACTGATGGAGCTATGTTTTCGTTTGACCGCCGCTAGCTCTTTTTCAGCCTGACCCTATATCAGCTAACATTGCCCATTGTCGAGGAAGGCGATGACTAGGCATACGTAACACATGTCCTAACCATCTCAGTCGAGGTAATTTCACAGTCTCGTCGATTGATTTCCTCTCCTTACCTAACACTCAACCGACGCCCGACCTCAATATTGCTCACCTTATTATACCACTTCACATGGGAGATAGAGTGCAGGCATTTATGATCAAGGACAGCTAATCTCTTCATGTTTTCCACTCTCAATGGCCAGGTCTCACAGCCATAAAGGAGGATGGGGCGGACTGCTGTCTTCCAGTGATGATTATGACTGAGAGGGGTTTTAAGCTCGAATCACAGCTGATAAGAATGCTTTAAAGAAATTCACTAGCAAAATATTTAAAAGAGACTTCCTCACTCACTCACTCACTCACTTACTTGACACACGGCTAAAACTCGGCTTTTCGGAAGGAAAGTCAGTATGTTTGGTAGAACAATATAATGCTCAAATTTATTGATAAACTTCGTCTTTTTCTTTGTACACATGTTTAGTGTTACCTAGAGGATAAAATAACAAAAAATAACAAGTAAATATTCACGAAAATAAGATCCGGATTTTCACCTCAAATGTGAAGTCAGTGCTACTATGCGTATCAGAGACTTGGCGCGTCATGAAGAGCACCTTCATTAACAGCGGTCTTCGCTCAATACTCAAGATCAGATGGCCGGCCAGAAAAGATCAGCAACAGGGATCTCTGGAAATGAGCGAACCAACCAGAAACCGATTGTCCAACAAATAAGCAGGAAGAAATGGAGATGGATTGGCCATACTCTGAGGAAACCATCAAGTGACATCACTAGACAAGCCATTGCTCGAGTGGAACCCGAAACGGAAGCGGAGAGTTGGTTGTCCGAAGGTGGGGTGACTTGGAGGAGGTCATATGACGAGGAGATGAAAGCATATGGGCAGACTTGGAGCCAGGTGAAAACTCTAGCAGAGAACCGAACACAGTAAAGACGCGCGGCTGAAGCCCCATGTTCCTCTAGGAATTAAAGGAAATTATTATGTATATACATATATATATATATATTGCCCTAAACAGAAAAGAAACCCCATAGCGCTTGTTTGTTATATCTGCGCCTGTTAATTGATAATAACACGGTAATGGGACTCCACTGATACGCTAACGCTAATATACCTATTTGTCCGCTGTACCTTCCTAGATTCACTGAACCACGCAAATATCAAAAGACAAAAGCTGGTACCTGTGACTATAAGATTCTGTACTGTACGCAAACACCACAAGCACAATCAACTACAACCAAGGCACTTCTGATGAGAAATCAACGTGACCTGAGGAGTCTATGAGATTTATAAGAAAAGCCTTTTCTTTCCTTCAGCACTGGTGATGATTGGCTGGATGGCTTTAACGCACTTAACATTCTCATCTGATATTTCGTTCTATATGCTGATAACCATTGACTTGATTGTGATGTAACGCTCTTGTTCATCTTTGTGCATGTGTGTCGGTGAAACGAGCAATCACCAGCACGTGAATCTGCAATGATGCCATGCCAGCTTTGCACACAAGTGAATCAGTTATAGTTGACTTTCCATGATCTAAATGAGTAATGACAAACATGATGTGAATAGTCCACTTGTAATCCATCATGCGACGCAATTCATCCATTGTAAATTTGACCGTTTTGATGACGCGTCCGTGGCACAGCGATAGAGTGCTCGCCGATCACAACACACGTGATTCGGAGTTCGATCCCCGGCCACTGGATGCAGTCCTTTACCTTGCTATGCCTGTAATAAGACTGGTAGACAGGAAAGGTTGAGCATAAGGCTAGCAATCCCATCCTGTAAAAATAATCACCACTACTACAGAAACTTCAGAGCTCTAGCTCGAAGCCACTGGGAACGTAAAGGAATAAAAAAAATGACGCCAACCAACCCCAGTGTGCTTTCTGTACTTTCGGACCGTTCAAGTAGTCCTTGCTAGGAAGGCACATTAGCCAGCTATAGATAACCATCCAGAGCAAATCTGTAACATCGAACACGAACGATTCTACATTAGCTAATAGAAAGCCTCATTGTTATTATTCAGTCAAAGCGTTGGAATTTAGCGGTCTATATTTACCAGCCTCTTTAAAATCTGTTCATCTGAGTTAATCAACAAGGGCAATAGAAAAATGACAATTCCACGGCAAGAAATATGATAAACACTGGAACTAGCTGTTATTTAAACTTTCATATATTTTGGATTAATAGTCTAAAGTCGATTTTGTAATGAATCAACTTTGACTATAGAACAACTACTGAAAACATAGAGGTAATAGAGAACTCTATAACGTTCTTCGGAAGTACATAACACCAAGGTAAGATAACACAAATATAGTTACCAGGATACTGGTTTTCGATACTGGATGAATGGTAACATGCTTGCTTTGTAACCTGAAGATATTGTAATCGATTTCAGACCTAGTAGTTGTGTCTAGTGCTCATCGTGAGCTAACATTGGTTAGACAACGACTGGAAAACCAGCACTGGAGTACTGGACAGTCAGCTGTCTCGTCAGCCTAGTTTGGGAATAGCTTTTTATCAGTACGCACCCACCACCATGGTTCGAACCCAGGACATTCTGGTTACAAGGTAAACTAGCTCGTAGACCATTAAGCCACTGGGACCCGATTCTTCAATGGTCAGTCCATGAGTTCTAACTTCGGCCAATTCACAACATAGCGCGACTACTAGCCAATGTTTTCGGCGAGTAGTTGTCCTCACACCCCACTGGTCACGACTTCGCACTTCCCACGCCGAGTCCTGGTGGATCCGCACTGCTGAGGAATCCCAAACTAGGACGAAACAGCTGTCCAGTACTCCGAGTTGGTTTTACAATGGTTATCTAACCGATATCACCTCATGATGAAATTCTGTAAGCAATCATTCAAATCCTTACAAACCAGTATCTGAAGTCAAAGTTCAATGAAACGCTAGAAACAATTAGCTTAATTTCAGCTTTCTTTAAGGAGGTTTGGCTACTCTACAAGTGTTTTCAATTAGAAAATTATTAGAAGCCATAAATTAAAAATTAGACGCTAAATTTGATCATGAAACTGTCAAACACGAGCGGTCTTGATTTTTTCGGGAATCGAATCCACAGGCCACACACTTAGGAAATAACATAATTTGCAGTCATGATTTTCAAACGAAATATAATTCATAGTCATGACGTCTAAATAATTAGATTGAGGTAATACTAAATCCATGATGCAAAAACCACACGCCAACTAGCTATACCTGTGAATTTTTCTCTCACAACAGAAATTTTGTAATTATTAGTAGGATTATTAGCCTTCCGCTTACAAGGCAAGCTAGCTCGTATACCATTCAGCCAGCCACTGGGACCCGACACTTCAATGGCCAACCCATGAATTATAATTTCTACCAATTCGTGATGCATTTAGGGCCACTGGCACCAACCAATGTCATCGGTGGGACATCCATCCTCGCACTTGACTGGATGAACCTCACTGGTCACGACTTCTCACTAGAACTCCAGTGAGGTCCATCTAGATATCACGTGTGAGGATGGATGTCCGACCGACGACATTGGTTGGTACTAGTCGTGCTAAATCACGAATCGGCAGAAGTTAGAATTCATGGGTTGGCCATTGAGATGTCAGGTCCTAGTGGCTGAACGGTCTACGAGCTAGCTTAGGTTGTAACCGTAAGGTCCTGGGTTCGAACCCTGGCAGTAGGTGCGTACTTCAGATGATTCCCAAACTAGGTTGAGGGAACAACTGTCCAGTAATCGATTGTTGGTTTTCAATGGTTCTCTAACTGATATCAATCCATGGTCACACTCGTAAAAACAAAACTAACCCTTACAAACCAAACTATAGAAAAAACACACAGTCATTACTGAATTAAAATAATACTCCTCTTTTACCTTAACAGAAACTGTATTATCCATACAATCATACATGTCTGGATGAGCACTTTCACGTAGCAGCTCAATAGCCTCAGACAAACTGTGTTTCTTTGTTTCAAATTGTGACATTAAGTAGATATTAGACGTTGGCAGGCGACCGCTTAAAAGCTCTAACTGGGCTATCTCTTTTTCCCATTTACTTCGATTTGTCTTTATCAATAATTCACGTGCTGCATCTCTTCGACTTTTTGATCTTTCATTGACAGTGACTTTAGCTTCACGATATCTTGGTTGATTGTGTCTGAATAGTTGAGATGCAGTTGACAGAGTTCGATGTGAATTGAAAAGTGTAAGTGATTGGATTTGTGCACATCTATACTTAATTACTTTTGCAAACTGCATTGGAGCTAAAAAGAAAAAATAAGGTTTAATAAAATAAACAAGGTGGTCTTTTAGCGTGGCGAGCAATAAATAAACAGGAAATCGAACAAGAGTATCGTGTTTACAAGTTATAAAGGTGGGATCAATGCTACTGTGAAACTGTGACCTTTTCATATCCTTACTGATCCTAATCCATAAAGCCTATATCGGTGGCTTGAGGATTTGGTGCGTTAATGTAATTAGGTGTTAGTACTTATCTATCGCTAGCGTATACACACTATGGAAAACTTTAAAAAAGAGAAGTATAATTCTTACTAACTACTATTGAACATTAGTTGTTCATGAAACAGAAAGCGGAATTAAATTAAATCCCCTGCCACTCACATCCGACGCGTCTGTAGTCCCGATATTCTAGAAACAGAATAAGACCTTTTGAGAGAAATCTTCATCCAAAATGGATACCCAATAAGATTCATTGATAAAAAAATATCAAACCAAGAATTTGAAGAAATGAAACTTCATTTGTGCCGAAAGAGAAGCTTTCCATGAATTTGGATTTCAAGCGAAATTTAACAAACGATATTCTCAAGAGAAGGATAGCATCATCTTTGAGAAGAACATTCTTTGCAACAAACGCTAAGCATAGTGTCTTCCAGTCGCCCTCTGATCTGAAGAGACCTCAAGGACAACATCCTGCATCTGACCACTTCTATGTGTATACATCAGTTCACCTGCTGCTGTGGAGCCAGGTACATCAGCCGTTCGACGCGCACCCTGTCCGAGAGGATTGAAGAGCACTATCCAGCATGGTTGATAAAAGGCAATAGTGGTGCAATAAGGAGTGCGATAATTTAACACCTGGTTAACACTGATTATTCCATCTCAACGAATGCCTCCTTCAAAGTAATCTACAGAGCCAAGAATAGCCTACCAAAGGCAATAGGGTTTCATCTTCTTTGTATCGTTGAAGCTCTGGCCATTCACACAGAAAACCGGAGCTGTGCATACAAAAGAGAATCACTCAACCGCTTCTACTATCATGTGACAACTTTGCTGATTTTTGATGAACTAATTTTGTCTGTTTTCTTGTTTCTCTAATTGCTTATAATTTAATATCCTCCACTTTGTTTCTATGTGCATTCTGAGTACAACTTAATCATCAAACTATTCATATTATTACCTTTGTTATACCCTAGTTCCATTAGCAACCAGTTTTCTTGACAGTTTTTGTACTGCGTAACTCCACCCAAAACTTAATAATTCTCATACCCTTTAGTTAAAATAACCATAACCAATTGTATTTTTGTTTGACAAACTTAATGTGCACATACAGACAAAATAACCTATACATATATTTGACATTGTACAGCTAAGATAATGAATTCGCCGAAAAGAGACTTCGCTGAACTACGTGTTTTGTTTCCATTAATGCCTAGATGGGGGTTATTCATGAATTATGAAATAGAAGTTTAATGTTTTAATATATATATATATATATATATATATATATATATTCTTTTACGTTCCAAGTGGAATATAGGGCTTGAAGCTAGAGCTTGGAGTTTCGGTAGCAGTGGTATTAATTTTTATGGGATGAGGTTGCTAGCCTCATACCCAACCTTCCCTAGCTACCAGTCTTACCACGAGCATAGCAAGGTATGGGAGTGCGTCCAGTGGCCAACGATCGAACCCCGAACCACGTGTGGCGTGGTTGGCGAGCATTCTACCGCTGTGCCACCGACGTTGTTTTATTATATGAGTCATACCGAAAGCACTTCAATAACAATTATACTTCGTTAGTTCTTGTCAGATGCAAGTAAAACGACGTCAATTTATCCCACTTAATGTGTTCTCCTTGCTTTGCTTAAGTTTGTCGAGAGAAATAATTTTAGGAAGAAACATTCACCTCTGATACTTTTATTGCTTTCAAAGTTTGAATTTCCACCTCCAAAGATTTTAACGTCAAACTAAGCGTTATTAGAAATTCATTTTTGCAAGTAAGTGAAGTTCGTAAATTTTTAATAATTATTTATAGGAGGAATACTTAAGTATTTAAATAAATTAGTTGCTGATGGACGTTCACGTTGTGATTCGTTTTTTACATCCTAACCTTTAACAATTGTATTTGCTCAAATTTGTTTCGCTTGGATGCCGGTCTTACTAATGTTCACTGTATCAGCGTTGAGTCAAATTCTACTTGATTTGACATTGGAGATTCTTTTAAACTTATGTGGATCGACATTTTGGGTTTATTCTTAATGATAAATCCGAATTTCCAAATTTGTACTTGGAATAGACTGAATACTTTTACCATCAAATGTGCCCTCGTTACTACACCAACAGCTCCGCTCATCTGAGTTCGGAGACAGTACATATATTATATAAAGGGGTTCGGCAAAGAGAACCCTGATCGATGTACTTATGCTGACAGAAGGATTAGTCGTCAAATGCATAGGACATACTAACAATACAAATGAAAATAACCAACCTACTTAGCATGAAGATTAAAGATGATTATTGGTTGAAAAGTGTGAGCAATAGTCTTCGAAACTATTGTGTACTTGCACATATGACTTAAAAAACATGCACGATTACCCAATAAGTAGCTTTGCTGACTATCAAGGTTTAGAAGAGACTGTAGGTTATGACCTAAAGAGTGAAACAAATCTTAGAACAACGGCTATGGAAGGTTTCGTAATGTTAATGGATATGCACAAGAATTTGATTTTGATATATAGGATACGAGCAGTGAGCCCATAATCTAAATACGGCGTAACTACAGAAAGAATTCGAAAATTTGGGGGTAAATTGGTCAAGGGATTCCTGCACTTCTTGCCATTGGCATATTGGTGAGAGTAACACTTCACAGTAACATTCCATATAGTATGCAGTGACACGGATGTAAATATTTAACAATCATCCATTTTCCTCAAAACAACTGCCTAAAACTACGCCGTACACATCAAAATTACCATATGTCTTTGGAACCACAAATAGCACCATGAAATGAGACGTTCACGTTTTCATCCATAGGTTATATAGAAATCACAATACCTTCAAAAAATGATAGGAATATACCACTTGACGCCAGGGTGGGCGATGAGAAGAAACAGACACACATAGAGACGAGCACTTAATGTGGGCGAGGTATTACAAGGTTAATAACATTGCAATCATGAGAGAACACCTGAAAAAGTGTCAGTCTACATCTTAGGCACAATATTGCGGAATTACTCCGAATATTCATGACACTGTCAAATCAACGTCTTGAACAATCGTCAGGCCTAGCCAGACAGTCTCAATAATTTATCGTTGAGTCACGTCGGTGGCCCAGTGGTTAGGACTCTCGCCGACAATGCACATGGTCCGGGGTTCGACCCCCGGCAATGCGCATCTGATATCTATGGTCGGCCTGCGAAATTTGGGCTACCGATATTACATGCTGAAAATTCCATACTTGTACAGAAAATACGGTGTGGCTTCAAGCTGTAATCAAAAAAAGACTAGATTAAACACAAATTATAGCCTGGATTAGGAACAGAAAGACTATGGTTTCGGCTGGCGGTAGATAAGTGTTAGTTTACTGTAAGGTGAAGGTTGGTTACAGTTTCCAATATCCACCACGGTTTTACAAGCTAGTACGAACCAATTTGATTTTTTTGATATACGACAATATCTAGATGTAAAGACTTTTCTGACTGTCCTAAATATAAATCCAGAAAAAAACATAACGCGTATCCTTTTTAACACGCATATTATCCTGTGTAACTGGTCTATTTTTTTAGAAACGCCCGAACCAGCAGCTATACGCCGAAATCATAAAACTCACGAAACTTTGTAACGCAGAGCTCAAATAACTCCTCTGAACATTCAATATCCAATGCCAGTGACAAGCAAATAATTATTGATTTTTTGCATTCGCTGCATAGCATTAATAAACGACTGCATAATTTAGCATATCCCATTTATCCTGATCATCTTCCATTGAATGCAACAAATAAAATGCATATATCGACAAAATTCATATGGAGCCTAACATTGATAGCAACTCCTTAACACGATCATGACAAATAAGGAGCCTAGACTGTGAGCGAATATTTATATCTGGAGGCCCTAGCCTAGCCACGATTTACCAGTAAGAAATGTTACGATCAACAACCTTCTAAGTTGTAGTTACTGTACGAAAATATAGTTCTATTAAGTTCTTTGTGATAGCTGAGAATATGATGCCACGTATGCTTGTCTGTGATGCAGCAGAGCTGACTACATCATATGTGAATCTTTACTTCATGCAGCATCACTCACGGATGAGCCTGAACTACCAGCTCCTGGATATAGAGAAACTGTTAAGCGGAATATTCATAAATCGGTGATAAACACCGTTACTTAGTTATATTAGAGCACTAAAACCATTCTCCATATATTAAAGGGGTGACAATGGAGTTGAAGATTGAACGATCAATTCTTGGTTGTTTGCTTAAAATCAACTTCCCCAATTTTCGCGGAGGCATCAATACGACAGTCATCGTCTCATCGGTCGCTGTTCAGAAAGAAGAGTGAAACATCGTCAGAAGTAATATAACGATTGTAATATTTGTTTACAGACCTTAGTTCGCTTATTCCTTTTATATGTTGGTGTAACAATAAACAAATCTAAAGCGGCAGATCAGTGTTTTGGTTTTTCGTCCGTTATAACTAAGCGTTTCTGAGAAATCTTCGAAGAACAGCGTGGGCCCGAGCGTAGCGAGAGCTGGGCATTAACGGTTTATGAGACGTGATTGACAGTTTCTGACGATGGAAACAGATCTGGCGGATTCAAACAGTTGGTGAAAGTTTGGATAGTCGCCGTTCATTTTTCCTGGTGCCGGTCAAGTCCTCTTTGAACAAGCAATATCTGGAACTTTTTGGAATTGGGTCAAGTTCAACAATGCCTGGGTCAAAGAAGGGACAGAGTGTCTTGGATGCAAACAGGAAAGTAAGTCATGGTGACTTGTCTGTTAATTGTAACGATGTGTCTGATGTTAAGCATGACATGGTTGATGTTACTGTTTCGCCGTTCAGGGATAATAGGAACATCAAACTCCCTAAATTTGAACCACGATGTTTTGATGGAAACCCGGCTGATTATTTACAATTTGTAAAGGAGTTTGAGATCATGTTGAGTGGTTTTTTATTAAATGATGAATTGAAGTTAATGTATTTGATGAGATATTGCACTGGAGATGCTGCAAGAGCTATACAGTGCTGTAAGTTTATGAAGCCAAAAGAGGGCTACTACGAGGCTATGAGCATATTACGTCAAAGGTTTGGAAGACCTTCGATGATTGCAGGGAAATTATTCGAGGCTGTTAAGGGTAATGGTGGTCAATTACAGGATGACTCCCAGGCACTCACTGAGTTTTTAGATAATTTGCTAATTTACAAGAATGGAATGATTTCGATGAATCGCATGAGTGACCTCAACTCGAGTTTTATACTAGAAGTAATAGCAAGACGTCTACCTACTCGACTGCAAAGGAAGTGGGTGAAGATAAGCTCCCGTATGGAGGATGAGGGTATCGAGCCAAAGTTTGATGATATCCTGAAACTGGTAAAAGATAGTGTCAATCAATCTATGAGCAAGTTCGCCAGTCTATTACATCTCACCCCTAGAATAGAGCAGTCTGAGGGTAAAATGCAATCATTGATGACGAAAGGGCCTCAGAGAGGTGGATATCGAGAAGGCTCCATGATGTCTAGTAATGCATATAGACCTAGTGAGTGTAACAGGTTTCGTAGTACATCCTCAACAGATAAGTTACAAGATGCAAGACAAACACGGTTTGTTTTACACGTTTGCAAGAGGTGCATACAGAAGTGAACTGTGAACCAGTGAGCAAGTTCAGTGATAAGCTAAATGTAAACTCCAGGCCTGACTCCGAATTGTGTGACGATAACGGTGCGGTGAAGAAGTCTGTAGTTGCAACTGGTAAGCCATTGTTGAATAGAGTGTCACAGAATAGAGTTGCTGCTTCAGAGTGCAGTTCTGACCCTACAAGTTTACAAGGTATTACTAGTCAGAGTGAAGTTATAAAACCTTTTATGATTTGAGGAGGAACCAAAATTGTCTACTTCTGTTATTAAAGAGTTTGAAAATGATGAAGTTGACGGTAAAGTGAATATTCGTGATAATGATCATGATACTTCACATTTGTCTTTGGTTGATCATTATGAGATGAGGGATATGCCTACTACTGCTAAGTTAAATAAAGGTTCTGTACAACTACAACGTGAAGTAGAATTGAACGCAGATGCAGTTCCAAAAGGTGTGCATACTTGTGAGACAGTCAGTGTAATTGATCAGCGTGTAGCCCACCTATCATCAGATGATAGTGCTAAACCCGAACTAGTAGTGAAAGACAGCAGTGGTGGTGGTCTTGCAGGTGGACAAATTTCTGAAAGCCGAGCAACAACAGCTTTTGATCCACCGCTAAGTTCATCAACTGATGTCACTCAGTCGTCGTTGGTGCTGTCATCCACAATGAAACAGACACCCATCAACTCAAGTATCTTGTGCAATGACTATGCTAGTATCAGTTCGTTTGAAAGGACGAATATCAATGGTCAGTTTAGTGAGGATAAGCCAAGTGTAAAGGGGAGAGTTATTGTTAAATTGACTTGCACGAATAAAGGCATTTCTAGTTTCAAGTTACTATTTGAATGTTATTATCTTTGGTGTAAATTACTCTGTTTCTACACTTGGTTGATGAGATATGTCGTGTGTTTGTTGGTCATCTATATTCTACGATACAATGACATGGGCGTGTTGCCGTTCAGATTTGAGGATATAGCTGATAGAAGGAAGTTAGCAAATGAACTCTGCGACGATTTTCCAACCTAGGGCGTCAACCTGAGAAGGGTTGTAGGCGTACTGCTGTAAGTCCTACAGTTCTTCAAAGGGTAGCGCATCAATGAGCAGTCCAATGTGCTTGGTGTGTGATTTTGTACATATGTTCATATTGTATATACTGAATTGATATCATCTGTCATCTAGCTGTTGGTAATTCTGTTTGTGTCCGGACGACTTCCACTTGGATCATCAACCTGAGAAGGAATGTAGGCGTACTGCTGTAAGTCCTACAGTTCTTCAAGGGTAGTTTGTCGTGTCAGAATCCACAACATTTGATGTGTTGATTGTACATATGTTTGTGTTAAATAGTTGTGTGAGTTCCAATTGATGTAATTGTTGGTTAATCTTGTTTGTGTCTGGACATTCCACAACTTACAATCGTCAACCTGAGAAGGGTTGTAGGCGTACTGGTGTAAGTCCTGCAATTCTTCAAAGGAATTCCATCAAGACATGATCCGCGAGTTTTTGTGTACAATTTGTATATACGTGTGGTGTGTCATAGCAATTGGTGTATTTTGGATTCATTGTGTTTACTTGTTGTTTTCGTGTCTTGTTGTTATTGCGTAATTTTGTTAAAATTTTCGTCGTGATTACTTCTGAAGTTGTTTCGAGTCTTCTACATCCGTGAATGAATTGATTGATGTTAGAGACAGCAGATGGGTCGTATACGCCGGGGAGGCTATTGCTGAGAATGAAATGCACACGGAGATAATTGTTAGCTGCGGTCCGACACGCCGGGGAGAAAGAGTGTAAACGACTGAGGCTCGCATGCGTCACCGCTACTAGAACTGAGGCAGAATGAGTGACAAGCGATTTCAATGGTAATTGGTAGTGAGTAATTAAGAGGATGTGCGTAGAGTATCATGAGTTGGTGCTATGGTCACGTTGCATTCTGCAAGAGTCATTCTAGCAAATGGCGATTGTGTTGCAAGATGTCAAGAGGAGGTCTCTGTCTGGACGCGCAGGTCGTCATTGATGTGTGAGATTGTGCTGTGGGTATGCTTGTGGTGTGTTGGCTTTTCTGTTTGTTTTCCATTTCAGCTCTGTCCGTGTGACCCAGGTTCTCGCAATGGCATCCAAGTCGACGTGCATTGGTCGTGAAGGAAAAAAGGGTTGGATCCCTTTTTTGCCGGGGAGTGTCAATGGAGTTGAAGATTGAACGATCAATTCTTGGTTGTTTGCTTAAAATCAACTTCCCAAATTTTCGCGGAGGCATCAATACGACAGTCATCGTCTCATCGGTCGCTGTTCAGAAAGAAGAGTGAAACATCGTCAGAAGTAATATAACGATTGTAATATTTGTTTACAGACCTTAGTTCGCTTATTCCTTTTATATGTTGGTGTAACAATAAACAAATCTAAAGCGGCAGATCAGTGTTTTGGTTTTTTCGTCCGTTATAACTAAGCGTTTCTGAGAAATCTTCGAAGAACAGCGTGGGCCCGAGCGTAGCGAGAGCTGGGCATTAACGGTTTATGAGAGGTGATTGACAGATATAGTATTTGAGATAGATCCAGACCACATTTCTTGCGCCCCATGCGACGGCTTTCAG